CATTACATTGAAGGTTTTCACCCTCTATTGTTCGTTTTACAGCAATAATCGGCACAAGACATCAAGGAAACACAAAGAAAAGAATGATTCATTAATCTAAAACGTTAACAATGGCAAGTGAACATAATAAGTACAGTGAGACAATGTGTCTTGAGGTGGAATGGAAAAGGTGGACAAATAAATTTGCAACAAATAAATCAGTTAAATGCCAGAATGGTTGATCCAAGATTATTGAAGATTTTCAAAAACTTTGACAAACTTTTTAATTTTTTACAGACACCAATTTCCTTTGCTGCAATATTCATTAAAAAAAAATCATACTTGAATTAAAATGATATACCGGTACATGATGCATGTGAATGTTCTTTTTTAATAATTAATTTATCAATACTGATACTCACTGTATCCAATGCTTAACTAATGAAAGCTTAATTTATAGGTAAAATGACCTTTGGTCTTCGACCTAATGACCCATCTATGCAAAATTGAGATGAGGAGGGCATTTCCTTACACAGCTTTCAAAAGTATCATTTGTGTTTATTAAATTTACAGGTATAAGTGCATCTCATGATTGGACTTAAAATTTTTATTTATTTATTTTTATTTTTAATTTTTTTTTTGGGGGGGGGGGATCACCTACACATTATATTTGTAATAGATACACATTTTATGTTGATGATCCCAGCACTGTTGATGGTTTATAGCAACAAAAAAGTTAAAAGTATATATAAAGAAAACTATATCACTTTACGACACTGATGTGTAGATTTGATCTGAAAATTTCTCAAGAACAGTCAATATATGAAGGTATAGACTTTTTGTTAAAGACAAGCAAGTGCCTTGTTATCTGTGAAGAAAAAAAAGTTGTTAAAGACAATTGTTTTGTTATCTGTTTAAAAAAGAACTGTGTTAAAGACAAGCAAGTGCCTTGTTATCTGTTAAGAAAAAAAAAGTTGTTAAAGACAAGAAGTGTCTTGTTACTGTTGAGAAATAGAACGGTTTTAAAGACAAGCAAGTAACTTGTTACAGTACCTGTTATTCATTTATCAGTTAGGACTTTCTGATCAGTTATACCAACAATTATGGAAACCTATATTCTCATATTGTTTTTGCAGGAATTTAAAGTAAGATGTTTTTTTTTGCTTATTACTCACTATAAATACTAGTTTAATTGACAATATGCATGGTATCGGGACATTTCCTACCTTATATTGCGTTATCTAACTTGGTATATGAAAATCAAAAATAAAGACTGGTGAATGTATTGATTACAAAAAAAGTAAATTGCATTTAAACATTCAGATGTCACTGTTAAACAAAGTGTCCTCTCCATAACATACAATGTATATCAACGAGTCACTCTTTGAGAGTTTGGATTATAGAAAAAATAAATAATAAGACTTGTACAGGTGTATATAAAAACTGGTGTATCAATAGACAATATCAGTATTGTTTTTATTGTAAAATACTGTTTAAATAACATGAAACAATGTATGAATAACAAAACTTTCACGCCATATATTCTGAGATAAAGTTGGAGTTGTAATGATGGTGAATAATTTGAAGTTTATCCTCTCCAATATATGTCACTTGGCTCATATAATGTTCCATTAATCTATTGGCATGTTCTTACAGAAATGTTAGAAATGAATGATGCATAGCAATTTACATATCAACTAATATAGTAAGAGTTCATATTGCTAAGATTTGTTGTTAAACAAATGTCCTCTCCAAAACACGTCAATGAATTAAGTTTGGAAGCTCATATTTGATTAAAACTTGCATTCACTTGTTTTTTTTTACACAGCATCAAATAATTTAGACATAAATGCAACACTGTATACCAAATTTGAAGTCTATATAAGAAGAAGGACAAGAAATTCTCATGTCATTAAATAAATTCAACCTCCCCATAATTCAGTTTCCTATAAAATACACTAATTTTATGGCAAAATATGGCTTAAGTGAATAGGAAATAAGTGCATCAACATCTGATAAGTATAAAAAGGCATATAAAAGTACAGAAAACTATGTGTATACCATTTACAGGTATAATAAAGCTGATGTGTCCTTTGTTAAACAAAATGTCCTCTCCAAACGCCTATTTTTGTTACTGTATTTCAATCGAATATTTCTATATGTAAACATGGACTTGACGCTCTATAATTTTACACATTTCTGACATATACCCCAAACTTTCAGAATCTGTGCATCTTTTGCTCTAACAACAATTTTCATTTTTGACCCCCAGTGAGAAAAAAAGTGTACACTTAACGTGAAATGACCCATTACCTTTAATGAAACTTGTACATAACTAGGGCCCTGGTAACTTGACAGTGAGTCAGAAGAGTACCTTAACCCATAGACAACTGGATTCTCACATTCACATAGGCTTAATATAGGAGCCACCCAGTTCCAGTAGGCAATGGGATATTAAATAGAGCTCTACAGACTGACACTCCCATTTCGATGACGGTTTGAACCTGGTGAACTTGACAGATAGGGTAAATACAATTTTGCTAAATAAACAAGGGGCTTACGTGCTAGGTTGCATGAATTCTCAAGATTTGACAACCTGTACAATTTGCAAAAGATCTTGCATTCCTGATTCCTTCGTTTCAAAAGTACTGTACACATCTATTAAAGAAAAGAGGGCTATAAATCTAAGAGCACAGTTTTCTCTTTGGCTTGACAGCCTGCTAAATATCTAACATTTTTTTGTTTGAAAATAAAATAAATAAGGCTCATCTAGTGAGAGGACATCTTTTTTTTTATTTGACAGCCTGTATTGTCTGCTAAAACTTTCTTTCCTTTGAAAAGCGCATCTACAATGTACTAATACTGTACATGCAAGACAGTTGTCCGATATAAGGCGTTACAAGTGAATATGAGAACACATTTTCTCTTTGATTTGACAGCCTGCATTGTTTGCTACATACTGTACTTGTACTGCAGAAAACTGATATTTTATCTCTTGAAAGATAATTTAAGAAATCTGTCCTGATGATGGATGTAATTATTTTTAAGACAATATATAGAATTATATGACGTAGATCCTAATCAAATGATTGGTTGAAAGCGTACACGTGACCATGCATTTATTTAGCCTAACATGAAATTTGGATAACTACCGGTCATTATCCTGTGGTAATGACCGGTCATTGGCGATCATGTTTTGTGATCACAACCATTGAGATTTATCGTTTTACTTTTACTCGCGAAAATGGCTGCCGTGGAATTTAAAACGCAATAGTTATCTAAGTTAGATCTAGATCAGTCATAGATGTAGACCTAGAATTAATAATGTACAGACTTTGAGATGAGGGTGATTTATCAAATAACAAGGATCCACTTCATCATAATTTTATAAAACAAATAATACACAACATTTAGTTCGGGCATTAGTAAAATTACCCACACTTGGTACCTTTTAAACAGTCCAAACTTCCTCGGCTATCGCCTCGGGCGTGTTAGACTGTTCCAAAGCTACCTTGCATGTGGGTTATTTTTACTAATGCCCTCACTGCAGTGCATTATTTGTATACTTAATGAACAACAGGGCGACCAGAGAAACCAAGGTTAATAGGAACAGTAAAGTAAAGTCAGTATAAATGAGGTATCATGTACTTGAACTGGTATAAATCAAATAAGGGTCTTGGTGAAAATCGTTTTTCTTTGTCATAACATTTATCCAAATGGTGGCACATAATCACCCTAGTAATACTACTGAAGACTGCAATATTGTGTAATACAAATGTTGCATGCGCATGAGTTCATTATACAATCTATTCGCACTCAAGTTGAGGCTGTGGGTATCTATTGCACAAAGCCATTAGGCTGAATGCGATAGATACAAACAGCCTCAACGAACTAGGGCAGATAAATCGTATAATGAACGGATGAAAACATGCATCATTTGTTTTATACATGTACATGTACTACGAAACTCTTAGATTATAAGGGTATTTGATGTAAAAAGATTTCATTCAAGATTGTTTTGTGACAGTATGGCTGACAAATAATTCTCAAGTTTAATAGGCTTTTAGTGTGCACACATACTGTACATTGTAGATAAGCGCACTTTAATACCTCTATATGCATAGTGCTGCGCAAGATTAGGCCCACACAAGCGCTCCAACCTCTACACACACTACTGCGCATGATGCATATGCACTAAAATTGTTGGATAGTACTGGAAACTATTGCATTCTTTTTCATGAAAAACGCACTTCACACACAACTGACGATTAGCCAATTAAGGCCTAATTTTCGAGAAGAAATGCATCGGATTTGAATCTGCTAAAAAAGTAAAATGACCGTCCAAAGTTTGATGACATGCCAAATTCATCATGCCACCAACATTTGCAGAGCAGACTATGGTCGGCTTCTGTCTCTAAGGAGAGGAGCAGACCCTACCCAAATAAGAGGCTAACGAACGAAAGAGACAGAAATTTTCGGTCTAATGCCAGTCATGAGTTATGCCATGCAAAGTTGTGTTGACCTTGATTTATTGAATTGAAAAAAGTAGTATGTGCATCAGGGGAAGTGTAATGATACTGTTATCTGCATGGATCTATATCTAATCGTCAAACAATGGCGCTGATAACTTTGACGACATTTACAAAAGCGAGAGTAATAGACCGATACACGTGTGGTGTTATGTAATGATGTATCTATCTCCGGGAAGCTCCAACACCTGCACCGCAGGCATCGGCGTCGGAGCTTCCCGTAGTTAGTCATGATGTAGTTAGCCCGCAGCACATTTAGTCTTAAAACGCAGGCAGGCGGTTCGGGGGAGAGACAGCAGAAATTCCCGGTCAACGACGCAGATGCAGAGTCGCTGGATTGAAGTGTAAACAGGTGTTCACAACTAAATTTATCAAAGTTTACGACACATATCGTACGAAAAAATATCATAAGAATCTAAAGAAATGAATGGAAAACAAAATAAAACAACTCATGAGAAATGACGTTATATTGATCTAGCTAAATTAACTTACTAAATAAAAGCTCCAGTCCAGTCTTCGGTCCGATGCGATGGGCGTAGGCGAGGAGGAATCAGCTGGTAAGGATTCGAATGCCGATGCATGATATGCATGCGTATTACGTACCGTACGTACGTACGTGCGCGTTCGTTTGCCCTGACCTGGGAATCGCGCGACCGTGTCACTACTTATCCCCCCCCCCCCCCCCCCCCCCCCCCCCCCCCCCCCCCCCCCCCCCCCCCCCCCCCCTCTCACCTTCTCTTTCTCGTTCTCTCCCTTGCCTTTTCTTTATACTCTTCCACTTTCGACTCCTCCCTTGTCTGCTTGAATTTATCTTTCACCTTCTTCAGTAAGATACCAATATTCAAGTTCATACAATACGTGTCTAAAGTCTGTTTTTTGAAAGGTTAGTGCGATACTTTTATCCATTACTCACAATGTCCGTATTATGCGCATTCCCATTTCCTAAAAAGTATAACTTCATTTATTTTATTTTAACTGTATGAATGAATTTTAATGTGGCAGTATAACCTGTAATTTTGCATACGCAATAATTATTCTAAAATGAAATGAAAGGGCTATTTGACTTCCAAGAGAGAAAATTGTCTTGAAGAGAGAAAGAGAGGTTATTTCTAAACTGAAATGAAAGGCTCTTGAAATGCAAATAGCCCTTTTATTTTATTTTAGAAATAACCTCTCTCTCTCTAAGCGACTTCATGAGATGGAATGTTCAATATGAGGGCTTTTTGTGGTCTTTGAACTGAGACACACAATGGGAGCAATGCAATTTAAATTTCAAGGGATGGTATAGCCCTTTCATCATATACATTTTAGAAATAAACTCTAAGGATCACTTCCCCTAAATAATCTTGAAAGGCATAAGTGGTTTTAAAAGCATGCAAATGAACTCTTTGGCACTAGATAGTTTGATCCTACAATAGCTTTTCATGCAATCAATAAATTAACTATAAAACAAAATACAAATCTAACTTGATATATGAATTTATTTGTATTATACCCACAAAGTATACAAACATTGTAAAAAACAGACTTAATATTCTAAATAATTTTCAAATGCATTCCAATGTACTTTGAGCTTTAACATTTTTTTTTTAGCCGTTACGAATACTAAGTCACGGTAAGATTTAATTATGACGAACATAAATAATTACGAAATCATTAGAAAAAAATTAAACACCTACAACAACAACAAAACACAAGAAAAAAGAGAAACATTCTTTGAACAAACTGATACATATATCTTGTAAGTAATTAAAGTATTTAAGATTTTGTAATAATTATAATTCATGATTTCAACACTTCAACTAAAAAAAAAAGATTGTGCGGTTGGTTAAATTGTTCATTTGTCTTTTCTCAAATACTTTAATCGGCAAATATACCTTTGACGGTTCCAATAAAAAAAAATTAAACAAATTATACGCTGTAATAAAAAAAAAATGCTTTGATTTTGAGAATCGGGTGGAATTCAAACCTTTACGGTATTTTCTCATTCAGCAGTTTAAGTGGCATTTGAAAAATCCCGTTAAATGGCATCTGCCATTTGATGTACGGCAGTTGGATATGTTCAAAGCTGTACAGGTAGGCCTATACACTCAGTATACACTCAGTACACACGTGGTGACAGTTAGCAATGACTTTAGTTCATTATAGGCATGTGCTAGAAAAACTGATACCCATTCCACTTAACCAGTTTTTAAAGATAATTTCGATCAGATATCTTGAAATCCGCAGGATCGATTAACTCTTTGCAAAAATCTCAGAACAGCATGGCTATACAGCCCCATCATGAAAACTAAAGGGGTTTCATATTTTACCCCAAGGAATCGGCAAGCTCTTTAAAAATACTATTTAAACATGAAATCTGGGGTCTCTTAATTATAAGTTGGAAGAAAAATCATCAATATTGCAATTCTTTTCTGATCATTTTAAAGATTAATGGTACGCCACCTGGTTTTGTTCACCAAAGACTTGCCTGCAAATAATTATGATGAAGAATCACCATGTAGATGTAATACGGCAATGTAAATCCACTTATATCATGGTTTCTTATAACCCTTATCTTTCTTCCATGAATTATGTAATGATATTCTAAAATAATTTCAATATAATATACCTACTTGATAGAAATCTTCCAATCCAATAATATATGAATCGGATCTAGTATATGGCTCTATTATGGTGACGAAGCAGAAAACAAATTTATATGCTTTTAGATATGATTAAAACGAATACTTCCAACGTAAGCAAGTAATCGTTATTGACAATTATGACAACATATTATGACAACGTGCATAGCTAAGGGAGCGCGTGGCATCATCGAATGGCGAATATACATAAATAATTAAGAAGAAAAAAAAGAGAAACACGAAAAGAACTATGAACAGAGAGATTGTAGGTGATGAAAAGTGAATCTGTTACTTCCATTAATTTTGTAGTGTGTTTGTTTGTTTGATTTGATTTCTGCATGTTTCAACATAAAAAAGTAATTTACAAACTATGTACATAATATAAATATTCTCAAAAAATTCAAAATGCAATATTATCATATCATAATATAACTAAATTGTATAATATTACCTTTAAAAGACCACCACGTTGACAAATCTATACAAAAATTACATGCTTTTATTAGAGGGTGTCCTTCAGTAAGTTATTCAAAGAGATTCGATCATACACAGTATGTCCTCCGTAGGAGGACTAGAGGGCCAACTAAAATCGTGACCTTTGACATTTCATAGGTTTTGCATTGGATGCATTATGGGGGTTTTGTCCGATTTGAACGACGGTTTTGGAGGGTCAATGAATATTCATGAGCAATGACGTAAACAATACGCCAACTACTGTTTGCTGATTGGCCATCGACAAAATGTTTTATGTATTAAGTCATGCATAAAACATTTTTTGCATTCCCAGAATTCCCTACGATTTGAGCACGAAAATGGCGGTTGTATGAACTGCAACTTTCAAGTTATTCAATTACGAACAATGAAACATTTTTCTTTTAAGTGAATTTCTATTATAATAGAAGTTTGTCAAGTACATCTCAGTTGAGCAGAAAATCTTCAGGCGAACATCGACATCAAAGTGATACCATACGGATACCAAAAAAAGTAAGTAAAGATCCATTTTGTGTGAAGATCTCTGAAATGATTGTGATGTGTTCGTCGTTGCAGTGAGGGGCTCTCTGCATTGTCACAACGTATTATTCCCTATCCCATCCCTTTCTTTTGTCTTACCAAAGAATATTAACTGATTGAATTTACTCTAATTTAAGTCGTCGACGGTAATATTTTTAGAAATAATCAGGAGTTTACCGTAGGTTATTTCATTACAGCACATCTCATAATTTTAAGTTAAGTTCACAGCTTGATTACCGATAGTAATCAATGGTAGATGTAGACCTGTTGGATAGACTGCGCAAATGGCTCATTGCTAGTCCAAGCCGATGCGATTTCGTCGAGCGGTTTATGATTTTCAATTCGCCGGTGCTAGCCGGCTGTAACACTCCACCAAGAAGCGACTGCGTTTCCTGAGCTGGCGCGGCTGTAACTTTACAGTGTAGGCTACACTTTAGTCTTACTGTAAAGCCTAGGCTAGTATTCATAGCATAGTCTAGCCTGAATTTTCTGTCTCTTTCGTTCGTTAGCCTCTGATTTGGGTAGAGTCGGCTCCTCTCAGCCAACCCTACCCAAATCAGAGGCTAACGAACGAAAGAGACAGAAAATTCAGGCTAATTAAGTTAAGGCATAGATCTAGATCTAGATAGACTAGGCCCTGGCCTAGGCTAGGGTCTAGTCTAGATCTAGTCATGCTAGTGTGGCATTATGTATCCAGGTCCAGCTTAGTTCGGATAGGCTAGATAGACTAGACAAGAACAAAACAAAACAAAAAGGGTGTCACTTCCTAGCTTCCTAATTTTACCCCCACCCCCACCACTCTTTTTTTCTTGATTGTGCTCTAACTTCTAAGTTATGGCACTGTGCCTTGTTTGAAATATTTAGAGGAAAATGACATGTTTTTAGACTTTAGAGAGAAAATAGGTTTATATTATTTGTGTATTACTAATGTCCGAATATTTACCTTGTTTACAGTAAAGTTTCAGGACTATATGCTACCCCTTTTTATTTGGTATGGCATGGGTATTTCTAACTGTAGTCTAAAGGACATTAACCAAGTTATAAACTGATAACTAATGCAAGCATTTGATATTATTACTTGCACGAACCTTACTAAGTTTCTATTTTCTTTTAATTGTAGATCCTATGGAACCAAGAAGCAGATAATGACCACAGAGGTGCAACAGAGACTACCAGTACCTGATCATCCTATGTTATGGTGTAGATCTCAGGAACAGGACACCTAAGTTGAACTCTGTCAAGGTATGTTTGTATAAAGTTCGAAAATATTTAGGCTGTATAATCTAAGGCTAAGCCCATGCCAACATCGCACTCATCTTGGACTAATCACCAATTACCATCTTAATTATAATGTTGCATTATATCTTGTAATTCTCATTTATTCTCTAGCTTTATTTAGGAGACAAACTACGGTGTTGCTTAATAAACAAATCACTTTATTCCCTCAGCATGATATTACAATATGTATTCAAAGGGATTTTTTTTTATTCTTCAATAAAATAAATATTACATATCAAAATTTTTCTCACAAAATCTAACAACTGAACAGTAGATACTCCTAGTCCTATGCTTATAAACAACTTACAATTATTCCATAGACTTCTACCTCTACATGCAGACCCTACTGCCTGTTGTATGTAGCAAATGTTTCACAAATAATAATAATAATTTTAAAGTTACTTGTTCAATAATTGGAAATAAATATAAACCTTTACTCTATTCTTCAAAAAAGGCCCTATTAGATAAACATAAGTCTATAATTTTGTAATAAAACTAAAATGTAAGACCTAAAAGTGGGAAGGTACTATTAAAAAAAAATCTAATGTAGTGCAGCTAGTTTTAATCTTATTTGCTTTCTCTCTTTTTGTTTGTATTATGCAGGTTCTCCCATGCAGAAGGATTGATACCCAGGCTTCTTTCTATCCACCCTCATCTTGAGAACTCTTGAGATCTCTACATCATCTCAGATATCCACGCTACACCACAATGGGGACTACAAGAGAACCGGCGGTGTGACTGAGATGATCAGCACATTTTTTTTTTATCTACAAGGCACTCTGCAGGTAGACTGGGAATTATGCACAAGGTAGTCAATGGTCTCTCTGCCTTTCCCTTGAAAGCCCTATTTTCCTTCACATATCACAAACACGGGAGAACCATGACCTCCAGTTGCACCAAGCCAGAAGCGACATAGATCAGTTTGTATTTGCCCAACTCTCCGTCCCATAGTTTAATAATGGAACTGACTTCCAGCAAATGTAGTGTGTACCGACAGTCCTGCCAGGTCGAACTGCAAGGGACTACTCCTGAGGCATCTAATGCCCTTATCACATTAAAAAAATATCACCTGTCTTCCTCACATCCCTTCACTAGGTCATCTTCGTGATAAGCTGCATAGCCCTTTGAATATTACCAGAAGAAGAAGAAGAAGAGGTATATCGAGGATCATAAAAGTATTTATATGTTCTTTTAAATGTGTGTACATGTAAGATACAGGTAGCTTTAATCTGAATTAAAATTCTGACCAATATATTAGGAATGCTGAACAGGATACTAAATTCAAGGTGGGGGAAATGAAATGATGTAGGAATAGTACAATAGTACTAGTAGTACTGTAATAGTATTAGTAATAATTAGAGGATAACAATAATAATAGTAATAATGATGACAATGAACAAAAATGTCCAATGTAAAAGAAAAAGTACTCCTAGCAACTGCCCAAGGGAAACATAAAAAGTGGTCTTTGTAGACAGGTTCCTTTAGTACATGTTTCAATGAGAAACCATTTTCAAGGGAAACAAAAATGTGGTCTTTGTAGACAGGTGGTCACTAAAGCAGGTTTGACTATATATATACCCATGCTGTACATAGTAATGTAGCATGTTGATAATTGAATAAATCATATGGATTTTATTTTAATATATCTATTTTTCTAAATCTATAGTAAAATTATACAACTGAACAATTTTAAGTTCAAGAGACGACAGCCACCCCTCCCCCGTTCATTTGTTACCTTTCTTTAGTTCAGGTTGTATTTTAAAAGATCATCATAGAAAAATTTATGTTCATAAATTATAATAAAATTAGTTAATACTGCTTAATCCTTTTCTTTTCATTTTCTTATTTTTGGAAGGTATGTGATGATGCTGGTGATTATAATCATCTTTTCTAATGAGAGAGAAGAGAGAATGTATTAAGAGAGTGATCAAGGTTGAAGTATAAATGTAGTTTTAAAAATGGTTTACAATAGAGAAGGGGGGGGGGGGGGGGGCGGGGGAAGTTAAATAAATAATAACTCGGTTCCAAAATGACACCATGTATGATCATGGTGGTGGTGATGGGGGGGGGGGGGGGGGGGGGTAATAGGTCCTATGGAAACGTCAGTATTGGAAGGGGGTCCTGGATTGAAAATGATAATGTCGGGGGGGGGGGGGTGGATGCAAATTTTATTGCATAGGGGGCACAATATGAAAGATCATTGAAGGCGAGGCGAGAATGATTAATTATTTGGGCACTAAAAATCTGAAAATAGCACTTGTTGAGTGGGCTAAATGATCTGCGAGATTTTTCAGAAGTCATATAAAAGAGTAAAATTTGTAACCCCTACTAATAATTTTTTCAGAGGAATCACAGACAATAACGATTAAGAATGATAAAATTTACATTTATTATATATGATACACAACTTGATGCAATATCCTGAACACATACATATGGAATGACAGTTCTTTACAAAAAAAAGTAATCAACTACAACAATCACTTGTTGTGAAATGTACATGTCATTATAAAAATATCTCATAGAGCTTTTCTCAGAAGTCATACAGTAGAGTAAATTTCATAACCCCTACTGATCATATTTTCAGAGGAATCACTTGATGCAATATCCGGAACACATACATATGGAATGACAGTTCTTTACAAAAAAAAGTAATCAGCTACAACAATCACTTGTTGTGAAATGTACATGTCATTATAAAAATATCTCATAGAGCTTTTCTCAGAAGTCATATAGTAGAAGAAATTTCATAACCCCTACTAGTCCTATTTTCAGAGGAATCACAAAAAATAACAATTAAGAATGATAAAATTTACATTTATTATATATATGATACACAACTTGATGCAATATCCTGAACACGTACATTTGGAATGACGGTTCTTTACAAGAAAAAGTAATCAGCTACAACAATCACTTGTTGTGAAATGTACATGTCATTATAAAAATATCTCATAGAGCTTTTCTCAGAAGTCATACAGTAGAGTAAATTTCATAACCCCTACTGATCATATTTTCAGAGGAATCACTTGATGCAATATCCGGAACACATACATATGGAATGACAGTTCTTTACAAAAAAAAGTAATCAGCTACAACAATCACTTGTTGTGAAATGTACATGTCATTATAAAAATATCTCATAGAGCTTTTCTCAGAAGTCATATAGTAGAGTAAATTTCATAACCCCTACTAGTCCTATTTTCAGAGGAATCACAAAAAATAACAATTAAGAATGATAAAATTTACATTTATTATATATATGATACACAACTTGATGCAATATCCTGAACACATACATTTGGAATGACGGTTCTTTACAAAAAAAAGTAATCAGCTACAACAATCACTTGTTGTGAAATGTACATGTCATTATAAAAATATCTCATAGAGCTTTTCTCAGAAGTCATATAGTAGAGTAAATTTCATAACCCCTACTAGTCCTATTTTCAGAGGAATCACAAAAAATAACAATTAAGAATGATAAAATTTACATTTATTATATATATGATACACAACTTGATGCAATATCCTGAACACATACATTTGGAATGACAGTTCTTTACAAAAAAAAGTAATCAGCTACAACAATCACTTGTTGTGAAATGTACATGTCATTATAAACATATCTCATAGAGCTTTTCTCAGAAGTCATACAGTAGAGTAAATTTCATAACCCCTACTAGTCCTATTTTCAGAGGAATCACTTGATGCAATATCCAGAACACATACATATGGAATGACAGTTCTTTACAAATATTATCTCATCACATTTTGAATATGAGTGTATTTGACGTGCAATATACTTTTTATGTAATTTTCTTTTCTTTTTCTTGCAACGACTCACAATCTAAAATTGAAAAATCTCACATTGCCCTCACAAATTATATTTCACCTTTAACAGAACTCATCCTTCTCTTCAAGAATTGTTTTACATCTAAATTGATGGTAGATATAGCTAGGGGTAATTGTGTATTGCCTCAGCACACAAAAGGTGCTAAACATTGAAAGCTATGTAGCTAGTGGTCCCACGTTAGTACAGGCATACTCGAACACCAGAAAACTTGTCATTGGTAATGTAAGACTTGACACATATTTCCTAAATAAGTGGAGGTACATGTCAATTTTCTATCTTCAAGGATCTTCAATACCTTTTTCACACCTACTTTACATTCTAGAGATAGACGTCAATTTGAAATAGAGTGCATCTATATTTTACAGATATGTGGTGCAGGGTAATGAATCTAAACAACTTTACAAATAAATTTGCAACTTAACCCCATTTAAATAGCAGTTGTTTAGATATTCCATGTCATATCAACGCAAGATTGCTATTCCTTATACTGTACAAACATGTAGGCCTATATGAGACATTTCATGTTTATGTAGAGTCCACCGTAAATCTCTTTTTTAAATTGGCATGCCAACTATGAGCAGTAATACCAAAATCAATTGTACAAATCAATATTTACATTAAGTTGTTATATTTGAACGAGTGATTTTATTTCTCTTACATGAAAGTCAATCAAATCACAGATTCTAAAACCCACAATTTACATGTACATGTTGTAAGTTAATCACAGTTTTGTAGTCTAATGAATTATTAACACTAACATTAAGATTCACTGATTGTATGTGATGATTATTCTTGATAATCTATTACGCACTCGTTTGCCAATTAGCTTATTATTAAATGATCTAGTAGCATGTTTAATACGTACGATTAAATACTTATCAATTATTGAGCGAATTAAACCTGAAACATGATTTGCATGTGCTTCTTGTTCGCACATATGATTATCTAATCTACTGAACAAGTTGTTAATATTAAGGTAATCTAAACAAGTACGTTGGATGGTATGCCTCAAATCCTTTGGCACATCGTATATCTTCCCTTCACTAGGGGCATGCCAACGAAATGCCTTCTCGGCCGCTTTGCAGATAGTATGTACTGACTGCGATGGATATTGGAGGCCACCATTGTCACGCAATTCTATCAGTAGCCTTTCCTCAGCTGGGTATGGAGGTTTTTTTGTATCCAAAGCAGATAGGCAGACCTCACACTTGTCCTGTTTAGATGTGGAATAAATTGGTTAATAGAAGAATAAGTTTTCAGTAGATAAGATAAAGGTCAGTCTTTTTTAATTCCCAATTATTGTTAACAAAATGTCATTCATCATTTATTTATCAGTACAGTACCTCCAGTGGCGTACGCAGGATTTTTTCAAGGGGGGGGGGGGGGGGGGTTAAACATTTTAAATCGCGCCGAAAATTTTGCAACGCCTCAGCCAGCCGGTCGCTGAATAAGGGGGGGGGGGGGGGGGGGGGGGGGAGGTAAGAGCACATTTTTTTATTTTTTGGGGGAAATGGAAATTTCAAAATTTGGCCGACCGATTTTTCGTTCAATGGGGGGGGGGGGGGGGGGGGAATCACTTTTTTGGGTCACCTTTTGCACAAAAAATATAACATTTTAAAAAAAAAAAAATTGAGGGGGTTTCATCAAAAATCACACACATAAAATAAAGTGACTCGGTAACATTGTTGAAGGTTGATGAAAAAGCTGCGTATTTTTTGTATGAAATTTTATTTATTATATTCCTTCTACTGTATTAACCCTCTAACATGCCAAAAATCCTGAAAAAAATTCTCAAACCTCAGAGATATTTATGGTTTTCTTTGAAGGTTTTCACTGTGTGACACCCTCTTAAAGTAATTATTTTAGTATACATCTTCCTCAAGAAAAGTGTTTATATTGTTTCAATTACCTTCCTTTTCTCTTTTTTCAGTGAGTGTACTACAAAACCTGCAATGTAGGTAACAACATTCTCCTGGTAGTCTGTCAGATCACCAGGGTCCATGGCGGTCTGGTATTGAGAAGATGCTCCTGTGCCTTCTGCTTCAGCTTCTTGGGACGTAGTGGGTTGTGTGGTAGAGTCACTGCTGATGGGTTGTGTGGTAGAGTCACTGCTGATGGGTTGTGTGGTAGAGTCACTGCTGATGGGTTGTGTGGTAGAGTCACTGCTGATGGGTTGTATGGTAGAGTCACTGCTGATGGGTTGTGTG